CATTGGTGCTGTAAAATCCAGAACATCAATTACTCATGAAAAATGCGTTAACTACATTTGTTTCACTTCGTTTAATTTGATAGTGACATTCAACGATGAAATAAGCGACTTCGGCTGCATCGAACTGGGCAAAAGTGCGACACTCTTCACTGCTACATCGCAATCAGGAATTATCTACGTTTATGAAAGTTAGGAAATTGAGAAATTTATATTTCACCGATAAATGTGGTGAATGTAAGAGTGTGGAATGAGCAGCATTCATAACATTTTATTTCCATGCGATGAAACACAATTAATTTGGTGAAGCATCAAAGAACATTCATTTGAATCGTTAGAGAACAAAGAACATTTGAAGAACAAAGATAGAGTTTATGGATTGACCGTAACGATAATTGATTACATCAGTGAACATTCACCGGATACTTTCAATATCTTCACTCAACTCCTCATGATTACTCAATTTTTTTGATTTATCGTTGAGTCAGCAATAATCAGCTTATGACCAAAAGAACTATTCTTTTGTGGTCGTTCTGACCATCACTTCAATCAATTCAAATCATAAACCATCCAAAAAGTTGCTAATTGGATTCAATCATAGTTTGTTGCAACGACACTGATGGCTCATTCTAATTCAGTTCAGGCCGTGAAATAGAATGAAGTTAATGTAGAAACGAAAATGAACACTGGACAATGACTCATATCGGTGTGGATTGTAATTTTGACGAGGATAAAATGAACTAAATATTGAATGAACTTCGAAGATCATAATCAGAGGTTATCTTCAGTGGCATGATGTAGAAGGAGTTGTGATGCTGTCAGGACATAGATCTATCGTAACAGTCTTATGATGCAATAGTCTTGGAAATATACATTCTGATCGGCATGGATGCGTTTCATCCGCAACTCCATAACAGTTACAACCAAGATCACCGACGCACTGCCTTAAACAATGTGAATAGTGGAATTGTATCGATGAGAAATTCTCTTATTGAAAATGAAACGCCTCAATTATAAATTCACATTAGCACTATTCTGAAGAGTAGTCGTTTTTAATGAAAAGATGAGCAATCGAAGAAATAAGAATCGAAGAAATAAACGAATGCCTAGATCGAATGATAACGCCTGAAGAGCACGGTTCTAGCGCTGAGCAACTACTCCACGGGCACCATTCAGTCCAGCCACATAGTGGTTTACATAAGTGCATGTTGCAATCGTTGTTTTCATATGCAACATTCCCATCACACTGACACGTTTCATTACTCGACGATGTTATTTCTGTAGCATAAATCTTTGTTATAATTGCAGCAATCCACAGAGCTTTGGTCATAAACTCCTCATCAAGTGCCTTCTTCAGCAACACTCTAATTAACCTTACACATCAGAGTTCTTGCCTACAACACTCCTTGTATGCCCATGTCAATAACTGAATGTGATTTGATGTTCATAACAATGCTTAAAGCAACAAGGATTCTGATCGAGCCAAAGATGCGACGAGAAGTCTATTCGTCTGTCAAAATNAATTTTCTATCGAATCAAAACTCCTAACTTCGAATGAAGAAAGCTTCAATAGTGAAAAAGGATGAACGAATTTGCAGGAACCTAATCCAGCCACTTGACATGTTCTTGTTCGAGTCATTTTACCACCTCCGCATAAACGATCACAATTGCTCCACGGCTGCCAGTCTGACCAAGAGCAGCATTCATGCTCATTACATCCCATGGTTTCCTAAAATTTATTGAACCGTTCCATCATTGGAATGATTTCTTCAGCACCAGCAATTAAATGGCCATTAATTTTCGGAGCCACAAAACGAATCGTCGGTAATCAATCAAAACTATCAGTAAAAATATCAACTTCGTTCGCTCCTTCACAGCTCGCTCCGAACTGACAAACTCGTTTTCTGTTCTTGATACCTTCACCACAACTCACACTACAAGACGACCATCCTTGCCACTCTGCCCAAAATGCACACGGCATAAGATTACATGACAGTTGTTCGATTGAATTACCTGAAGTCTTGTTAGCTGTTTTATTTTCGATCGAATTTTTCCATTTGACGAGAAAACTGCAAGCAAGTACGATTGCTAGTATTAGCATCCAAAACTCCTCATGAAAAGCAGTATGAATTCCGGAATGTTTACCACTAACTGCAGATCAATTAACGACGATAAAGTGGGAAAGGTTGTGAAGTTTAACGAAAATGTTAAGAAATTTCAATAATATTCCAACGCTCCAACCACTGCATGATCCACTGATACAGTTCCGTTCTCGTGACAGAATTCCATTGCCACAACTCACTGAACACTGCGACCAATCGCTCCATTCATCCCATTCTGGGCAAGGAATGACATTCGGGCAAGGTATCTGCTCACTACTCTCACCTGAATGGATACTTCTCATCGTCAATTTTCGAATCATCGTTTTCAATGCCCCATTTAAGTAAAACAATATTTTCGAATACTCGGAATTATCGGAATTAATGAATTAAAGGTTTATATTGATTGTTTTCATTGAACTGGCTGTGCATTAATCATTTAGCGACGTCCCTCGCTTGATCACCAAATTCTAAAATACTTCAAATATTCGTACTGATCTGCTCAACACTGAAAATACCACAGCGATATCTCTCTGCATCATGTGGGAAATTACCCATTTTTGGGTAATTTAGGTTTTTTTGACGTCATGCGTGGAAATAGTAAATTGTTGCAGCAGAAAGCGGGAGGNNTATCTCCTTGAACGCACGTCCTCTGTCGTCTAATCACACCATTGAATCCACACGATACCGAACATTTCGAATACGCTGACCATTCAGACCAGTGCGGACACACCTCTTCATCACATTGCATTTCTTCGACACTTTTACCTCAAAAAGTTATTGTTCGTTGTAAAAAGCGAATCGTTTGAACGTTATGAACAGAGAATTTAGGAGTGAAGTTACGAATGTGAAATGATAGACCCTGGCAGATTCCATTACGGCAGAATCGATTTCTTCGTATCAATCCACCACCGCATGTGACCGTACACAGTGACCACTCTCCCCATGATGTCCATTCAGGACACGCTCCAGCATCGCATTTCCCGACCTGAATAGGCAAACACTCATTCGTTGAAAGGATTAACTCAATAATATCATCAACCTCTGTGATTCGTCATATTAAAAAAAATTTAAAAACCCTAGAGCAAAAGGAGCAGCCGTCAATACTCTGCCATTGATTACTCTCCCAAATAGTACGATCAGAGCAGAGAATGGTTTCACTGGGAGCTTGAATACAACTCCTAGGAAACGACATTACTGAGAGAATATTTCTATAAACGGCTCGTGGGTATGAACTGTACCAATAAATAACTATTGCCTCAAAATCTGATCCTTTGCATCGCAGATATCCCAGATCACAGAAACGCCTTCTTGTTCGTTCACCCATCCCACAAGATGCTGAAAGCAACACTAACTTCACAGCATTTTGCCNTCAATAATCTCACAAAGATAAAATGCTATAAAGAAGTGAGTGTTTAATCACCTTTACATGCACTCCATTCACACCAGTCAGACCATGAGCTGCATTGCTCCAATTGACACGATGTTGTTTCACTACTCTCGCCATGACAAATATCACCTCCTTTACAAACGCGACTCCTTGTTTTCACACCAGAAGCACAACTCACCGAACAATGAGACCATGCTGACCATGTTGACCAATCTGAGAGTGGAGTATACTGCTATTTTTATCATCATCGCTGTGGTGAGGTAGTTGCAATTGCAATTAATTTAAGAAATAGTCGAAGTCATTTGCCGTTTCAATCGTGTTTTCCTTGATTAATATTACCACAATGAACCGAAAATATTGCAGCAAAAACATAATATAACCCACTTGCGATAGAAATTCGCTCGTCGAATTTATTACGCTGTTGTTGATTGGTTTGTAAAGATTCCCTTAAATTGTCTCCATGTTCGTTTGTATCACCGACTATATATTCCTCATAGTTATTACTGCGATTCGCACATCCTCCTTTCCGTTCACTTTCAACTTTGAAATGTTTTGTTTGATCGAATTCATTCGATTTATGTGCTGTGGCATTGATGGTTATATAAGGTTGATTAATTGGTCCCAAAGAAACTTTTGCAAATGGACACGAAGCAGGACATGGCGTGGGGAACGGCACTGCGGGGTGAATCTGTAAAAAGGCTTTTTCTGGTTTGTTATTTTGACATTACATGTGCTATTTAAGAAAAAAAAANNAAAAAAAACAGTAAAGACGTTAAAAGGTTTGGCAGCAGTTTTTCGACTGAAACAAATCAACTGAGAATCGATAAGATATTGATATTCACAGACAAATGGATTCAAAGTCTTATTGTTAGAAAAATTTGGAAATCGAAATTTGAAAGTTGAAATTCGGAAATTAAAACTTAGAAATTAAAATCTGAAAAGCGCACCATTGCTCGAGATTCTTGATGATTACAGCATGCATATCCGAATTGCTGATCATGCTCAGCCATTCTTCGCTTATATTCCTCCCTTAACTCTTTATTCTGTTATCTGGTTTTTTAAAAACTCATTCCAGATCCAAAATTAATTTTCCTTAGATACAAATTGGAAAAAACGTTTCATGTGAGGAAATTTTAAATGCTGAATCAATAGCGTTCAGCAGCTTTTTAGGTTCTAAAACTGGAGAGCTGAAAAAGTTGGACTAATTGCAAGGAAAACCAAAAAATTGACGAATGCTTCAAGAAAATAGCATTCTTTCCAATGTTTCCACCGCCACTAATTTCCTTTACATATTAAAATCATTAAAAATTATCGTTTATGCCTAACGATTATTCTCATCGATTGCTCTAGAGTGCCAAAGAGAATAAAATTAAGCTAATCGTAAATGAGAACTTGTTCTATCCAACTGATGGCAAGATCTCTTTTCTTCTGGATCCTCAAGCTTCTTCATCGAGTGATGTATTCAAAACGACTCAAATTCACTCTTTGAACTGAACAAAAGTACATCTAAAATTCCTAATGGATCTCATCTAATTTCGATGATCTCAGAAATATGCAATCAACAAACGAATTCGAATGCGGATGTGCATAGGGCACTGGTGGATATTGCATATCACGAAATGGCTCTAGGATCACGTAACTGGCAGTTGTACTCTGAGAGTTCAATGGACAAGAACGCCGCTGTACTTTACGACCATACTCACACGCTTGTGAGCGAGATTGCATCCCTGAAATTATCACACAATTGGTATATAAGCCAGCATTATCAGCATCCGAAAATTTTTTGGGGATTATCATCAATTTAGAGGTTAAATCAAGTAAGAGGTTGATCCATGGACTGCGTCTAATGCGCAAAATAACCAAAGTCAAATTTATTCACCTGATTTTGAGCACACTGACCACGATGACCACGACCCAGTTGTTTTGATTGGGCGATGAAATCCTATTCCTTCAAATTGTTTTTATTATGCGTGCAAGGCTCTCATTTATAAGGTTGGTCAGCCACTCAATTCCATAACTACTAACGTATAATGCACTTCTCTTTGAGCATTTATGTATAGGCGAATAAAAAATTTAGCTTCAAAAATTAAGCTGCGATGATTTTGCTCACTGATTATTCAAAGATTTGGGATAATCTGATATTTAGAGGTAATGGGAGCGTTTCAAGATTATTGGGCGAAACATTTCACAGTTGAGTGAATTCAGAAACTCTAGAATGGATAACCTCGTTTTTCGCGATTGACTTTATCCGAGGACATGACGAATGAATCTTGAAGTGGTGGAAACGGATCAAATTCACGACAGTCTACTACGATCTCTAATGCTCTCACTATATCCCACTCGCTAAGTGGCTTTTCGGGTACGAGCGTTACCTTAACAAAAATCGCAATTGTTTATTGAAATATCTGCTAACAAAATAAATGAAACACTGAATCCATTCATCTTATTCATACCTTCATCCATATTATACGGATTACGTTATGAAATATGCGAAGGGAAGCATTTTATGGAAGGACAACACTGATAACTATTTTTGAATAAGAATATCTTAATATCATCACTAATTAATAAATGACGTACGTTGGCATTAACGGTGTTGCGACTGAACAAGTAGCAGAAATTCTTTTTATTGCTATTATTCGTATAATAAAACACCACTGAAATTTAATAATGCATCAAAATGTTTACAAGAGACGAAATTCATGATGGCAAAAAAAGAAAAAAGAAAAGCTCTCATAGATCAAATCTAATTTCAAAGTATCGAAAATTATTTGTTCGTTCACTTCATTAACATGTTAGTGTGATTATTTCATTCCAATGCATTTTTCCGTTCAAAAGCAACTGCAACCGTGAAAGTGTTTAAATGCTTCATTCGGTCTCATAACTCCTTTTCTTAGGTTGCTTTATTCTTCAGAACCTTCAACCTGATCCCAAAATGAAACAGAATCGAATTAATAAGTTAGTGCTAAAAAAGAGGTATGAGTATGTTACCTGCAGTACAATCAGGATATTGATCCATACAAATTTTTTGACATTCGTTTGCCGTAGAAACAATGAACTGTGAGATTGGTTCAGTACCAATGAATGCTGTATTATTATGCATACGAACACATAAGGTCTCGATCTGTTAAAGGTGAGTCAAAGTCACGAAAATCATACTCGATAATGAACATGAAAATAACCACTGAAAATTTCTTAGTCGAGAGCACTTTCATGTTCTAAAGGAACTGATTACATTAAGTATTGTTGCATACTGGGGATGGTGAAGAGCAAGCATGATTGTCGCAATAAAGAACAACTTGTCAATATTACTGCTGAATTGAGCACTTTCCTAGAATAATTTTGGCAAGGAAATGTGCCTCAGTTGCTGAATCGCCCAATTTTTCAAATCAGTACCTTTGAATTTCCAGCCTTCCTTTTATAAAATCCTCTTTTTCCACCCAACTTCAACTTTCCGCTCAACCGTAACGATGATGCTGAATGAACGATTGATTACTTTCCAGTGTGCTTCTACGGCAAATCACAAAAAATTCAATTCCCTAATTATCTCATATTACGATTGAATTAATTTTTGTGATTGAATTATCAATTCATCCGGTTAAAAATTATATTTTCAATAGGCTGTAGAAAAGGAGNTCATTGAGCTGTTTTACTGAATGAATGACTACAAAAAGTACGAAAGAATGAACTGTAAACTAAAGCTTCTCTATCTTTTATGTGAACTTATGGTTCTTATAGAGAGAGAGAGAGGGGGGGGGGGGGGGAAATTCCCTTTTGAAGGGAAATTAAGAATGTCACGGTGAATTAAGGGAGTTGGTAAATTAATGTTGATTGATTTTTTTGTACTTTTTTGACTATTGTTCAGTAATTTTTTTGAGCTTTTCTTTGACCAAAACAAATTGATTCTCTTGATACCACTGACTAATTCTGATAATAAACTTCACCACTGAATCAATTGCTTTGATCTATCGTTTAGACACTGTTAAAGTTGAATGGAAAATGGCGGTCTGCCATGCGGTCGAAAAGGAATGAGAGCGTGATATTCAGTTTCCGTAACCACCGGTTATGCAGGCGATATTTACTCGCAATGAACAAATTTCACTGCGAATGAATATCGCCATATCACGAATTACCGAGTATAGTTAATTCTTTTCTTGAAGCCGCTTAAATTCGATTCGAATGAGTTCTGATTTCCAGAGTTTTGTTATGAAATTCGTTAGTAAAGGTAGAAGTAAAGTTTTCTAAGATAAACATGAAGTGACATTTTTCAGGAAGTGGAAAGTCTGAATAATGGAACAGCATTTTTCAGCATAGATTGCCTATTTTGGTTGAGGTCGACAGTGAAAGAAAATCGGAGAGGTACTGAAAATTTCAAACTATAAGCAAGAAGACTTTGGAGTGCTAGCCAATGCTGCAATAAGTTAGCGGATTCAATGTTTTGAAACACATAGATAATTTGAATTCAAATTATTATACCGGCTGAAGTGACATTCGCAATAGTCGATAAAATGACGGTAGAAAGTAGTAATAATCGCATATTTTGAGCTCGATCGCTCAGGATTATGAAATCGAGTGGAAAACGGATTCGTTAAGGAGGTGATCCCAGCTGAACTGCCAAAACTGCAGCGATAATTCAGCTCAATTTCATTTGTTTAAGAATGTCAGTTGATTTGATATATGATGATTGTCTTATCTTAAACTTGCTTCAAAATCAGCAGATATATGTATAATAGTTAAACTTTTAAACATTCAACTTAACAAACATCCGATTTGCATTCTATTTCGTTTACAACTGATGATCGATTACCGTGATTTATGTTAATAACACATTTTCAGTCTTTTCAAATTGAGTAACTCGTAGCATTTCTTCATCTGCACTATTCAAGACACATCAACTGATTATGCATTTGTTGGAGTGTCACTGAATACCAGAACCGATTGACTTATGAGCTTACCATCAGCACCCACAGATCATCGTAATCAAAATAGCACATCCTCAATAAACGTTCTTACTGACAGTGTGTTGGGGAAAATGTGATTAAGGGACAAATATGGGTAAAACACTTCAAGTAGAGGAGGAAGACTTATGAAATTGAAAATATACATTTTAAGGAGGATTCTGCCAAAGAACTGTAATCATAATGCCAGCCAAGTCTCCCAGGCTGATGAAACGAAGGTGCTGATGATCATGGATAGCGATGTCTCTATACCACACTTCTGGCAAATATTCTGTTCTGTTCTATTCCACCATTCGACGGTTCTATTCTATTCTATTCTGTGCGATATTTTTTCGAGATTTGTGCTATTCTATTCTATACTCACGTCACTATTTGAGAACCACTCTATTCTATTCCCCTCTTAAATGGTTATATTCTATTCTATTCTGCGCTCCTTCTTTTGAGAACTATTCTATTGTATTTGTTGGAATAGAAAAAGAACGTAACATTTCAACTGAAATACAGACATTACTAATCATGGAAGCGAGAATGGCATGTTGTAAAGTATTGTGGTGAAGTGGGATTATATCCATTAGTGATAAGGTACTTTTAATTACTGCAGAAGTTGTTATTGCAATGGATCAAAGTAAGACATGTTGTGATGGAGAAACATGCATTTTTATTAGATTTTCAGAAGATAATTCACAAATTCCCTGCCGTTACTACTCATATATTACAATCCATTGAAATTTGTCAATGAAGATTAATTACATCGACGAACGTTACGTTGATGGAATAAAGGTAATGGTTAATGACTGACCTGATTTTTCTCAAAATATGCGCAGAACATAAAGCAGATATCATTTGCCTCAAGTGCACCTTATGAAGTTAAGTTCGTTGTCCTTGAGAGGTTGAAATACTTAGATCAGTCAATGCATTTCTTTCGACTGGATACTTCATTGTTTTTCGACCTAAATTTTCGGATGAGAATTTGGTTGGGCATTAGATGTATTTTCAATTCGATTAAGCAAAATCTTCAAGAATTACAGGCGATATTGTATCTAAGAACCAAGGGGAAAAGATCGTTAACGGAAAATATATGGTTTTGATTGTTTTCCATATCTCTGAACTAAATTGGATTCAGAGAACAGTTCTTCCGCTCGACTGTTGCTAACCTTGCTGGTGAGATTCTTTGACAAATCAAATAAAGCAACGTGACTTCAAAATTAATCACATGATCAATTTATTTGCCTATTGTTCGGCTTATATATATATATATATATATATATATATATATATATATATATATATAT